AAACAGTGGAACCATTAAAACTGTGGCAATGAGAATGAATTTGGTCCCTGACATTCGTAAGGAAATACAGAGATGCCAACAAGAAGCTATGAAAGAAGAATTTGTTAAGGCAGAAAGGTTGGGTAAGATGATTTCAATCTTGGAACAGAATAACGAGGAACTAATGTGCTTTTAAGGGCGAATTTGGGTACCATGTTTTGGAGATATCTGGAATACTATACTAAATGAAAGCCATAAATCTCGATATTCTATTCATCCAGGCACCAATAAGATGTATAAAGATTTGAAACCTTTTTATTGGTGGCCAGGATTGAAGAGAGACATAGCTAGATATGTAGAACAATGCCTGAATTACAAGTTAAGATTGAACATCAAAAGCCATATGAAAGTCTTCAGTCTTTGGAGATACCTGTATGGAAATGGGATCACATTACAATGGATTTCATTATGAAGTTACCTCGAAATCCAAGGGGGTGTGACGCAATTTGGGTAATTGTCGATCGTTTGTCTAAATATGCGCATTTTCTGCCAATAAAAGAGAAGTATTCTTTAGAAAAGCTGGCGCAGATTTATATTAAAGAAATTGTAATCAGACATGGTGTTCCATTGTCTATTGTTTCTGATAGAGATAGCCAATTTACTTCAAAGTTCTGGGAGGGATTGCAGAAAGCTTTGGGATCTGAAATTCGACTAAGTATAGTTTATCATCTGCAGACTGATGGGCAGAGTGAAAGAACTATCCAGACTCTCAAAGATATGTTGAGAAGTTGTATTATTGACTTCAGGGGATCGTGGGAAGATCACTTGCCATTGATAGAGTTTGCATATAACAATAGTTACCATTCCAGCATCCAAGCGGCACCGTATGAAGTGTTGTATGGATGTAAATGCCGAACACCGTTGTGTTAGAATGAGATAGGTGAAAAACAACTTACGGGTCCTGAAATTGTTCAAGAAACTTTGGAGAAAATTGAACAGATCCCCGAAAGAATAAAAACAGCACAAGATCGCCAGAAAAGTTATGCTGATAATTGTTGAAAGCCCATTGAGTTTGGTGTAGGTGATTTTGTGATGTTGAAAGTTTCACCGTGGAAGGGTGTTGTCAGATTTGGAAAGAAAGGAAAGCTCAGCCCGAGGTATGTGGGGCCATTCAGAATATGTAAGCGAATTGGACCAGTAGCATATCAGTTAGAGCTGCCAGAAGAACTGAGTTTGATTCACAACACTTTCCATGTGTCGAATCTGCGGAAATGTTTGGTTGATCTGAGTCTAGCCATACTGATGCCAGAAATTAAATTAGACAGTAAGCTGAACTTTGTGGAAACACCGGAAGCCGTAATTGACCGAAAGATTAAGGTATTAAGAAACAAAGAGATAAGTCTGGTTAAGGTTCAGTGGAAGTTTCACAAAGGACTAGAAGCGACATGGGAATTGGAGTCAAAGATGAGATCAGAGTATCCTTCGCTCTTTGATTAAAGGAATTTTGGGACGGAATTCTTTTGAGGGGTGGATGATGTGATAACCTAATCCTGGTTGTCACCAGAGGTAATGAATATGTGATTATCTGTTATATATATGATTATGTATATATGTGGGTACACATGCATGTACGATATATATATATAGGATATGCATGTATGTATGTGCATGTGTGCATGAATATATATATATATATATATATATATATAGAGACAGAAATGGTTACTTGATTATTTGTAAGGCATGCATGTGGTGTACGGCTGTAGTAGCCGACCTTCTCTAAAGGGAAAGTATAAAAGGAGGGGTCAAACCACCATTTTGCTCTCTTGCCATCTTTGGTAAGAAAACTTGGTCGATTTAGAAAGAGAGGGAAGTTGATCGGATTGCTTATTTTTTAAGATAGTTTCATGTGATTTTCAAAAAGGCTTTAATAAGGTGAGTGGTTTAATTGTTTTGAAATTTTTGATAATTCCATAAATTGATTGTGTTTTCATCTGGTTTGGAATTTAAATCGCATAAGTGTTATCCGGATTAGACCTAAACCGGTCAAGAGATAAGTGGTTTAGTCTTAAACCGGGTAAGGGTTGAGTGACTTAAGTCATAAACCGGATAAGGCCTGGGCGATTTAGTAATAAACCGCCTGGAGGGTTGACCGGATAGAGTAAATTGGTCAAGTGTTGAGCGATGTATGAATATTGAGTTTATGTTTAACATTTTGAACGGAGAARTAGGAATACGACTAAATGGTGACCGGATTATTTTAAATCGGACAAAAAGAGAACAGTGTTGCCCGGACTTGTTATCCGGACAAAAGTGTTGGAATTTATTCTAAGTGTTAAATCGGACAAGTCTTGCGTGATGTGTTATCCGGATTTGGTAAACCGACCAAGATTTGACCGGAGATGAAGTCCGGCCAACTCTATGTTGACCGGATTTACAATATGCCTTGTACATGGTTAATAAAATTATTATTTTATCATAAATGAGAATTTTGATATAAATGATTTTGAATTGATATTAACTCCATTTGACTGCGGTCTATTTGGAATTGTTTTTTTAAAAAAATTTGATGAGAAAATAAGGGTGGCATATCAAGGAGAGGTGTACGATGGGATAAGGGTGGCATATCAAGGAGAGGTGTTCATTTGGATATAAGGGTGGCATTACGTGTGTTGTATGATATAACTATTTCTATTATATTCCTTAAAATTACCGTGGTTCGGAATCTTTATTTCTTTGTGATTTAAAGATTTAGGATCAATGTTCTTATTAGAAATCATAGTTTGGATGTTATTGAGGAGAAAATAATAGGTTTGGCCTGAAACTTTAAATAAACCTTGTTTGATTAGAGAAAATTTAATAGTGGCATTATATGAAACCTGGTTGGTTCAAATGTATGTTATTTGAATAGTTGAATGTTTGGCTTGAAAAGTGGGAAGGAACTAGTAATATGCCCCCATTTGTTTATATATTTGTTATATATATGAAAAGTTGTTTTATTTAATAAGTTTTGGTGATTACCAACCTGCAATAACTTAAATAGGGTAACTCACTAGACGTAACCCTCGTTTGGCAATTCTAATTATGTATTGCAGGAAGTGCTGATGGTAAGGGAAAGGGAAAAATATTATAAATTCCTTATATGTTTATCTACATGAAGATTGGCTGATGATTTATATATTGGCAGATGTAACCGGATTAGTGCAAGAATTGTATTTTGAATTTTTGGATCATGTATTTTTTTTTGATAAATTCTTGTACCATGGGACCTAAGTGGTGTACAAACATGTATTTCTTCCGTATGAATTATGTGTTACATGCAATGTGTGGTATGGGGTGTTACAATTTGCATGGTGTGAGGTTTTAACTTGTTAATGATGTACTAATCAGTTCATAGGTATCTCGTTTGGTACATGTCTTCACTCCTTGTATCACCTCTTGTCACTATCAAAGTATCTGTGTCCTTATACTTGCCCCCACACAGATAACAGAGGCATGTTTTCAATGCATAACTCTTTTCATGAAACGTTTAATACATTTAACATGTTTAAGGCTTTTTAAAATATATATATATATATATATGTATATGTATACGTACATGTATCCCTAGTTTGAGAAATCTCTTGAAAACTTATATTGACTTGAATGTAAGCTAGTTGTCCTCATTTGTATGCGACCTACACATATTTCACAAAAATGGTAGACGCCATCTCCTGATACGCCCTTACTGCACCTGTCCTTTTGTCATGTTCTGTTAAGAACTTGTACTATTTCAATTTGGCATATAATATTGAATAAATAGTGTCGGTTCAAACTTGGGTCAACATGACATCAAGCTCACTTACATTTATGCGAGCTCAAGTAAGCTCGCTTTGTGTTACATGGTGTTGACTTGTCACAAGGACCTTTTTATGCGAGCTTGATCTTGCACTACCTAAATTGTGTGAGCTTATAGAAAAGCTCTAATCTCTCATGTTTCACTCATGTGACCTTTTTATATGCGACCTCTAGGCTCGGGGTTGGGGTCGCGTTCATCACACAATGGCGTTCAACCATCTAATTTGGGGCCACTTTCAAGCACCATTTTTAATCACATCTACTTCGAAGCAACTGTTTACTTGATTCTTAAAATCAAATTATATATTAATGTCCAACAAAAATCAAACTAAAGTTACTGCGACTTTTAATTACATTAATCAATTAGTGATGATTCCAATTAGATCCATAATCAAGAAAGGATTCGATTACTTTCATACATTTTGATCCATCATGTCTTTATCAGGTTCTTCAAATATTTGAGATATGTTGTTGTAAACCTCAAAATAAAAAAAATTCAAAATTATGTTTTATTTTTATGCATTTTGTCCTTGGAAAAAAAATAAGAAACTTGTGTAGAGGATTATGGAAGAAATTTGAGATATAACCTGATTGACTGATGACACAATAAAGGGACAGTAAATTTTGGAACAACAGATCTTTATTTGAGATATAAAATACCGAAATAAAATCTTGCTATTTATAGAAATAATCAAAATTGAAATAGAAATGGATTGAATTTATTTGTGTCTATGAATATTAGGAAGCTATAAATACGCTTAATTGCTGGGTAGAATTAAAACTCCCCTTTCCATTTCTATATCTCCATTTTGCTTCCTTGATCTTCTTCTTTCACACTCCCTTTGAGAGTTTCTTAATTATTTTATGAAACTCCACAGGGGAAATTGAATCATCTTTTAATTCTTAATCTCCTTAATTAAGTTTTTTTTTTGTTTGTTTCAGTTTAGCGAATATTTCAAATTTTTTGTTTTAACGTATCGTTTAGAGATTAACTTCTAATATTTCATCTCTTTTAGATTCGATATTTCTTGCTATTCACTAATTTTATCATTTTGACGGGGTTTAGGAATCATCCCGTTTTGATCTTGTTCTTATTTAATTTGCGACCCAAAAAACAACGCTTTTACATATATATATATATTTGTGTATATATATGTGTATTGCGAATTGTTTGGATGCAAGATATGATCAAGGAGTTATTCTTTGGTTTCCTATTAATCCATTCATCAATAGCCAAACATGGCCGTTCTGGCAATAACAAACCAGCAAGACAGGTTCAGACAAGACGGTTGCAAGCAGTCCCTGGTCCAGGTCCTGGACCCGGACCAGGACCAGGACCGGGCAAGAAATGGCTAACTTTGAACGGTACCATCTTTATTTCTTCTTATACCGTTTTAATTTCATTGTAATTTAATTTACGTGATATTTAAATGACATTTTCCGCCTATTTGTAGGTAAGGAACCGTTGGTGATTGCCCAAGGAGGGTTTCCGGGGTTGTTTCCTGATTCTTCTGAGGTGGGCTATGCCGCGGCTATAGCAATGGGCGTGGTCGGTACCCTTAAGTATTGTAACTTGCAATTAACGAAAGATAATCTCGGAGTTTGTCTTGCGGATTTGAAGCTTAATAATTGCACGGATGCGCCTATCAAGTTCCCGAAGCAGCAACGAAGGTACAATGTTAACGGGCATGATATCGATGGTTGGTTCCCAGTCGATTTCACTATCGATGAGATAATGAAGGAAGTTCATTGTAAGTGTCGTTGTTAACATGGTCTTTTCGTTTTAATTTCATTTCGATATCACCAATCTGTGTTATATGTTACGAGAGAAATAAATATTCTCTCCGTCCCAAAACAAGTGTCCACATTTATATTTTAATTTGTCCTAAAATTTAATAAACGTTCATTTAAAAAAATGCATACTTTCCAATTATACCCTTAATCATGAGACGGTTAAATTCACTATTCTCTATATTATTAAGGCTATAATCGTAATTTAGTTAATTAATATAAAGTTATAGTTACACATTTTTAAAGTTGTAACATTTCTTTTAGGACTGAAGGAGTACATTATTACGAGTTTTACTTATTTAACACAAGAAATGTGGTGGACCCCACGAGTTTTTGAATCCCAAGAGCACCAAATTAACTTGTTATTATAAATGTTTTTAGATATTTGACTGATAGTTAAACAGTGATGCAGAATATTTTCTCGAGAGCAAGTGTTTTCGATTTTGTATTCCCTGCCCTCCCACCTGATAGTGTTTTCGGCCTCGAACCAAAAGGAAAACTATGGTTGAATGTTCAGGTAAGTTACATGGGACCCATATAAGATCATGTGGATCCCTAGTTAATTTCATACCTTACTCAATGTAAGTGAAGATATACTTGTTTATGTGTTTTCATTAACCATGTGTTGAAGAATGATGGGTTTTGGAGTCAACACCAGTTGAATGCAATACAATACATCGATGAGTCGAAGGAATTCTTCGTGGCCGATTTTATCTCGTCACCGGAGATCGGTTTCTTGAAGGCCATAAGCGGGAGCAAAACCTTCGACAAGACGATAACGAAGCTTGTTTTCCGGTTCCTAAGCCCCGTGGAGGCTGAGCCGACTTCCAAAGAAACGTATGGAGCCCTCGTAAAGAAGCTCAATATGATCAAAACATTTGCATCGGGGATTCTCGTCCCAAAAGACTACATATGGCCCGTGGGTAAAGATGGATACTTGCGACCAGCAACCACCCTCGTGGAAGATGCTCATAAAGATGGCCTCGAAGTGTTTGCTTCAGGATTTGCATCTGATGTGTTTTCTAGTTACAATTACAGCTATGATCCGACGGTCGAATACTTGCAGTTCGTCGATAATTCACAGTTTTCCGTAGACGGGGTCATTACAGAATTCCCGGGATCTGCTTCAAACGCTATCGGTGAGAAATCATGTTCCTAGTTGTTATGACCTATGAAGATGCACCCACCTAAGTTTTTTCGGGCCTAAAATGCATGGGACCAGGCCTTACTAGCCCGTTTGCAAGCAAGGTTTCATAGTTTTTGGGCTTTTTGGGCCCTCCCTAACTGGGTCTTGAAAAAAATTGGTTTGATCGGGCTTTAAGGCTTTGCTAGGCTGGTCTTTGAGCTTGAACTTTTTTTGCATCTTTTTGTTCTTCCGGTTATACAAACTCATGAACCCGTTTACTGTAGCATGCTTAGCTCAAAATCCAAATTCGAGCACAAAAATCGCGCAAATTTTGATCATATCTCACAATGGAGCGAGTATCGACTACCCTGGGTGCACCGATCTTGCATATAAGAAGGCGATCAGCGATGGGGCAGATATAATCGATTGCAATGTTCAAATGACGAAAGATGGTGTCGCATTTTGCCTGGATTCGGCTGACCTCTTAGGAAAAACCAATGCGGCAATGGCTTTTATGGATAGATCAACTTCGATTCCCCAAATTCAACCAAAAAGTGGCGTTTTCACGTTCGATGTCACCTGGACTGAGATCAAATCCGTTAAGCGTAAGTTTAGCTGTTTAGACTAGTTTTCTAGAATACAAATGACTTGTCTCCAAATTCCACGTCCTCTTCCTGTCCACCACTCAATTCCTGACACATCATCACTTTATAGAAGAAAGAGAATAAAAGGATGAATTAATACACTAATTATGTACCGAAATTTGATTGGTGGGAGAGGAAAGGGACATGAAGTTTGGGTAGAGGTGATTTGTATTCACGTTTTTCTTCGGTAATGAACGAATGAAGCCTTTGTTTCTTTTTACTTATTTTCATTTTGTTGTAGCGTTGATTCAAAACCCATTTCAGTCTGGCGGATTGCAACGAAATCCTAAATCAAAGAATGCCGGAAAGTTTCTAACGCTTCTCGAGTTCTTGGAGCTTGCTAACAAGAACACGGAGACGGGTGTTCTTATTGGAATTCAAGTAAGTTTGATGTTTTCTTTCTTAGATCTATCTCCTTGATATTTGTTTCAGTTCCACATCAATTACACTTAGACCATTTCCCCTCGATAAAACACTCTTCTAGAGAGTAATGTCTTGGTCCCACATATTCTCAAAGTAATTTAATATGGTTCCACGTATAGTGACAACACCAATTAACATACATATACGTTGCAATTTGATAATATTCCAGCATGCCGCTTATCTAGCAGCGAAGAAAGGCCTCGACATTGTCCGCACTGTCACAGGTGCGCTAAAAAAAGCGACGTTGGACCCAAAAAAACAAGTTTTGATTCAATCTGATGACACCTCGGTCTTGGCAAAATTCAAGGCATCGGCCCCGACATACCAAAGAGTTTTGTTGCTCACGAAACCAATCAGCAATGTACCAAAGCCCGTCACCAGTGACATCAAGAAATACGCTGATGCGGTTAATGTGGTTAAGAAGTCGATTATCCAAGAGAACAAGATCTTCATTACCACCGGCTCGACAAAAATTATTGATGAAATGCATACAGCAAACATCTCGGTGTATGTCTCAGGATTCTCGACGGAGACTCTAAGTATGATGCTTGATTTCTATAGCGATCCGTATACTGAGCTTATTACGTTTCTTATGGAGGGTATCGACGGCGTGATCACAGATAACCCAAAGACAGCAAGCGCATTTATGAGTAAGTGAAACTAAGTTGTTTGTATGGATTAAGATAAAAAAAATTAAGTATATGATACTCTCACATACCACACACACATTGTAGGTGAAGATTCAATCTTTGACCTTTGACCTATGACATTTTAGCTGTACTATTAACTCGGACACCACTGAGCCAATGAGCCTTTTGGTAAACGATTTGAATGAAATAAATGACTATTTTATCGGTTCAATTAATGAGCTTTCAGCTTATGTGGTGTTGCAGGGAGTCCATGTGTTGACCCGAACAGTGCGGCATCGTTCGTTTTCCAACCGGTTAAACCGGGTGATTACCTTGCTCAGGTTCAACCGGAGGCGTTGCCGCCAGCATCACCACCACTCCCTCCACTTGAAGAGTCTGATGTTGTCGATCCGCCACTTCCTCCTGTGAATGCTGCTGCACGCAAAGAAGACTCCAAATCCGGTGGTGGTAGCAGTGGCGATGGCAAGGATGGTTCCTCGGAATCCGGCCAGCCACGTCTTGTCATTGATGTAGTGGTAACAATCTTATTGTTGGTTGGATTGGTGTCTCTTATTGGATGTTGATTATGGTTTGGCGTGAAGGAAACTGCAATATTGTTGTATAAAGTCAATAGTGTTTAATTTTTTGTGTGGTAGATTAGCGTAGTTCTGATTTAATTTTCGTACTTTTATTATCAGTATTTTAAATTATGTTTTAAGATGTGTATTTTAATCAAATTATTTGTGTCTAAAATATGTATCATAAAACATAATCAAGAGACTAGTTTCCAAGAAATAAAAAAAATACATTTAAAAAATTAACATATTTTTATTTAATTTCTTTTTTTTGATAACGTATTTTTAGAACTCATATTTAAGGATTTATTGTATGACCTTTTTAAGGCATCCTATGACTGAGGCACCTCGAGAGGAGTCACCTCAGGTCCTGTAAAAAGTTCAGGGAGTTGCTACTCAGTAGGTACGATGTGAAGTTCAATATTGTCATTCATAACATGATCTTGGATAAAATAATATTTGATCTCAATATGTTTGGTATTGGAGTGGAGAATAGGGTTGTTTGCAATAGCAATAGCACTGGTTCTATCATAATAGATAGGGATCTTTGAGAGCTGAAGATCATAGTCACTGAGTTGGTTTTTCATCCATAATATTTGAGCACAACAACTTCCAACAACAACATCTTCAACAGTTGATGTGGATATTGAATTTTGTTTTTTACTTGTCTAGCTCACTAACTTTCCACCTAGAAGCAGACAGTCTGCAGTGGTGCTTTTCCTATCAATTTTGCAACCTGCAAAATCACTATTTGAATAACCAATAAGGTCAAAACCGGAGACATTGAGATACCAAAGTCCCAGATTAGGAGATATTTGAATATGCGTTTTACAGCAATCAGATGGGATGCCTTAGGTTCAGATTGATATCGTGCACACAAACAAGTAGAGTACATAATATCTAGATGACTTGCTGTGAGAACAGGGAGCCTATCATTCTTTTATAAACAGTAATGTTTACAGGCGTTCCATTTGGATCCTTGTTCAGCGAGAGAGGAATAGTCACTAGAGTCTTCATAGATGAGTTGTTGTTTAGATCAAACTTCTTCAACATGTCCCTGACATACTTACTTTGATTGATAAAGATACCTTTATTTTATTGTTTAATTTGATGACTTAGAAAGTAAGTTAGTTCTCCCATCATGGTCATCTGATATTCTTTCTTCATGTTTTAAGTGAACCGAAAACATAAAGAGGGATTAGTGGAACCAAAAAACTATATCATCAATATAAACTTGGACTAGAATGATGTGACCTTTAACTTTCCTAAGAAATAAGGTATGTTCAATCTTTCCACGAACAAATTTCTCATAGATGAGAAATGAGGAGATGGTATCATACCAAGCACGAGGGAACTGTTTTAACCCATAAAGAGTTTTATCCAATCAATAGAAGATTTGGATACTTAGGGTCAAGAAACCCTGGAGGTTGCTCAACATAAACTTCCTCCTAAATATTTCCATTTAGAAAAGTGTTGTTTACATCCAATTGAAAAACTTTGAAGTCTGTATGGGCAGGAAAGGCTAGAAAGAGTCGAATAGCTTCAAGTCTAACCACTGGTGCGAAGGCTTCATCATAGTTGATCCCTTCTTCTTGCCTGTAACCCTGAAGCCTTGTTTCATGTCACAATTCCTTGTTCATCTAACTTATTGCAATAAACCCACTTGGTGCCTATCAAAGTTTTGTCAGGTGGACGCGGGACAAGGTACCAGACTTGGTTACTATCAAAATCAATGAGTTCCTCTTGCATAGTATTGACCCAACTAAGGTCATTGATAGCCTCATTAATCTTCTTGGGCTCAACTAAAGAAAGAAAGTTAACAAAGAGAAGATATTACCTAGACCACATCGTGTCTGAATACCTGCACTTGGATCACTAAGAATTTGATGTATTCGATGGTATTTTGTCCATTGCTGATCTGGTAGAGGATTATCATTTGAGATTGGGAGCTCAGGCATAGAAGATGAGGCATCAGCAATAGATTCTTCAGCAACAGGTTGGATTGCTAAAGGAGCCTTGGTAAATGATTCAGCAACTGATAGAGATTCAGAAACTTAAGGATTTTCAGCGACTGAAGGGTCAGTATTTGAAGTAGAAGGGGGTAAGTGACCAATGGGAATGGCAGCTATCCCTGAATAGGATTTAGCTTCATTACTAGTCACATCTAAAATGATAATTGGATCATTGTCAGTTCCTTAAGGATGGATCAGTACTTGGTTGATTGCTGAAGGAAGCTTCAGGTTGTCCATGTTGAGATATCATGTAGTTGTCTAACTCTTCATCATCTTCAAAGATGGGTTTAGAGTTAGCTTATTGAGATTCATCAAAGATGACATGGATAGATTCTTCTATAATCTATCGTCTTTTGTTGAATACTCTGAAGGCTTTGGATACTTAAGGATATCCAAGGAAGATTCTTTCATCAGTTTTGAGATCAAACTTTCCAAGTTGGTCTCTATTGTTAAGAATGTAACAAGTACAACCAAATATATGAAAAAAAACTAAGAGAAGGCTTTCTACTATGGAAGAGTTTGTAAGTTGTCTTTTTGAATCTCTTGAAGATCATCGATCAATTCTGAGTAAAACAAGCAATGCCGACAACTTCAGCCTAGAATTGAGTAGGGAGACAAGATTCGTTGAGAATTGATTGAGCAGCCTCAATGATTGTTTGATTTCTTCTTTCAACGACCCCGTTATGTTGTAGAGTTCTCACAGCTGAGAAGTTATGTGAGGTTCCCTTGTTCATAAAGAAGTCATCAATGGTACTATTTTTTGAATTCATTGCCACGATCACTCCTGATAGATCGTACTCTGATGTTGTTCAGTACTTTTATGTGTTTGATGAACGAGATGATTTCTTCAAGTGCATCACTCTTAGATCTGAAAAAAAGACCCAAGTGTACCTATAAAACTCATCAACAATGACAAGTATATATTTCATTCCAGCAATAGATTGCACGTTGACTAGACCAAATAAATCCATGTGCAAAAGCTGAAGGGAAAAAGACATTGAAGAGACTTGCTTAGATTTGAAGCTAGGCTTTGTCTGCTTCTCTTTTCACATGTTGAGCAAAGATATTCATTTACAAAGAAGTGTTGAGGAAGGCCAATGACAGGATCCTTTCGAGATAGCTCATTCAGCATTTTGAAGTTGAGATGAGAGAGCCATTTATGTCATAGCCAGTTGATATCTGAAGAGGCTTTAGAGAGAAAACAACTATTCTCAATGAAGGGAGAATCTGTGTTGATGACATACACATTCTCTAGACAAGAACCTGTAAGAGAAAACTTTTCATATTTGTCAAAAACATAACATGAACTCTTAGAAAATTTCACTGTGAAATCTTTATCACGCAGCTGACTGATGCTAAATTTTTTTGCTTCAGTCCTTCAACATATGCAATACGCTTGAAAGTGGTTGCACCATTGGTTAATATACCAAAGCCCTTGGTATATCCTTTTCCGTTTCCTCCAAAGGTCACGGAGGGCCTCTTTCATCTTTGTAGTTATTTAATAGGGATTTGTCTCCAGTCATATGCCTTGAGCATCCACTATCGAGATACCAAATGCCTTTGACTTCCTACACAAGAAAACATATTAAGATTGCTTTGGTACCCATTTCTCACTGGGTCCAACGAAGTTTGAGGCGACATCCACTAATGCTGAAGACTCAAGGTCAACAGGTGTCTTCACTAAGCCTGAAGAACAGGCTTCAATGGGCTTCTTCACCTTAGTTATTTTTACAACGTTGGTGGCAGATTTCGTCTTGGTTGATTTTTCAGCCTTGGTTACTTTCTTTACCTTAGGTGAATGACCTTTGCTGGCAATATGTGTAGTTTCACCACAGTGTCTACACTTCCTATAGCTGAAAGTAGCTTTAGGGCCAGAAGGGTCCAAGAGAGTAGAAGAGGGACAAGCTCCAAGGATTCCTTTTTCATTTGTTCGAGAAGGAACATCTGAGGGTTTGGAAGCCTCGGGTGATAGATTCACTTTCAGCTTTGACTTAGGTTTTTGAGAAGGTTCAGGTATCTTGGTCCTTGAGGAAGAAGGTTTACAAGCTGGAGGTTTAGATCTGGGTCTATTAGACTTGTTAGCCTTTTTGGGAAGTGGAGCGATAACAATGGATTTACCTTTATCTTTGCATCCTGAACTCAAGGGATTTCCTTCAAGATAAGTCTCAATGGAAGAGTACTGACAAGCAGAGGTGTCAGGAATGGAAGAGACAAAGGTACCAAACTTAAGCATGGACCTGTCAATGACACATTCTTCTTGATCATAAGAGAATCCTTGACCACTCTTTATCTTGGCAGGGATCTGAACATTGATGATCTCAGAGGCCCTGATGGAGTCTTTGCACCACCTTTTAGTGGTAGCCTTCTCAGCCTTGAGTTCACTCAATAGCTTGCTCACACTCAGCGATAGCCTGCTTGCATTTGATGCTTATGGTTTGGTTTACAATGACTTGCTCTTTAAGATTTTCTTCAATCTTACTCAACTCTTTGATCTTAGAATGACATCTCTCTAATTGTTCTTGAAGATCAAGATTAAGCTGTTCAGCTTTGGATTTGCCATTCAGGGCATTGTAAAGATCAACCGTCGGTGTAACTAATGCAGATAGGCTATCAGAGATAGAAGAATAAGGTTCATTTAGGGAACATACTTGAGTAGGAGTAAAAGACGAGGGATCACTGGAGGATGATGTCTTTGATGGTTCATCTTTGACATCCTTGGCCATTAGACAAATATAGGTCGTATCTTCCTCGTCAGAGGATGATTCTTCATAAGAATCAGCCCAGTTCTTCAGCAATAAGACCTTTGCCTTTATGCTGAGAGTTTTTCATCTTCTTATACTTTTTCTTCAACTTCAGGTATTTATCATCTTTAGATCTAAAGGATGGGGATTTAGAAGATGGCATCACAATCTTCTTGGACCTGCATTCACTAGCAAAGTGACCTTTGCGTTGGCACTTGTAGCAGATCGCTGAAGCCTTGTCAATGGGATTGACTTT